AGGTGACTTTTAGGGGCAACCAGCCAGTTATACAAAGGTGGTGGTGGGTGGGTGAGGAGGCCACACTACATTCTGGTTTTTCATTCATGCTGCCCAGTTTAGTGGTAAAAGATTTTCTAATTGGGCTCTTTTCATGGCTGGTTCAGAGAATTGCTCATATTGGGTTGAATCGTGAATCATTTGAAACAATGAATCATGAAATTGCATTTTTGTAGATTAAGAATAGTCAGATATCAGCAATTGTTTGTTTATGTTTCAGCCTAATGCTTAAAGAAAGATATATGCAGATAGGTTTATTCTCTATATGCTTTTTGTCACTAATTAATATATTATGGAGAGCTGTCCACTTTAATGGATATGTCATAGAAGGCTGAAGCCATCCAGTATCTAACAGATAAATTGTATTCCATTGTTTGGGCAGATTAGATTTCACTGAACCAAGCTCCTAGTTTGTTTTCAGATATTTTTGTTTTATTTTTAAAAAAAGGATGCAGTAAAAGTCTATGTACACAACTTACACAGCTTAATGCACTAGTTTTGAGTATCTGTAGAGTGAACTACTAGAAGTAGCGCTGCTGGCCTAACGGTGGGAAGGAAGGGGAGAGTGAGAGGGGGGAGGTAAGAGATCAACCATAACCAAAGGACACAGATAGTAGGGGGGCTGGGACATATGCGGGGGTGGGGGGAGGAGTGGCCTGGGAGGGGTCAATGGGGGGAAAAGGAGACATATGTAATATTTTCAACAATAAATAATTTACATAAAATAAAATAAAATTTGGTTAGCTATTTCGAAGTTCCCTCCAACCAAGTTGCTCCAATTTAGATTCCCAATAGCAGTGAACATTCTTGCCATAGCAATCTTGTAAACTTTATAATCTTTACCAATCTAATGGCTATAAACTAGAATTCTGTTGTTTTATTTTGCATTTACTTGATGATACATGTTGAACAGTTTCCATGTATTATATATATTTCCCCATTACATTAGTCAGCTTGGACTATAATAAAATACCACAGACTGGGTGGCTGAACAACAGGAATTTGTTTCTCACAGCTCTGGAGGTTAGGAAGTCTCAGATCAGGGTGCTGGCAGATGTGTTTGCCTGGTGAGGGCTCTGTTCCTGGTTTGCAAACAGCTGGCCTCCTGCTATGTCCTCAATGGCAGAGAGGCAGAGAGCTCTGGCCTTTCTTTTTCTAATAAGGACACTAATCCCATCATGAGGGTTCCACTCACATGACATTATCTAAATCTGACCTCTCTAAGGTCGCATCTCCAAATACCACCACAATGGGGGTTAGGACTTCAATATATGAATTTTGAGGGGTCATAAACTTTCCGTCCGTAACAACTGTAAACTACCCATTCATGTCCATCATCCCTAGTTGCACTGGGTTGTTCGTGTTTTTCTTACTAATTGGTTAGACTTCTTCGTAAATGAGGAACATCAGTATTTTGGGTGTTTTTTAGAAGCACCTCAGGTTTTCTGCTTCAGTCTTTGCAAGTGTTGGGGAAGGGGCACCATGCTGGCAGGTTACAGGCTTTGACTTTGGATTGTTTGTTTTTGTACTTTACCATGACTTTTTCTTTGGTTTTGTTGTTTGTGATTGACTAACAGAGGTCCTGTTAGTCCTAATTTTAGGAATATTACGTCACAGAACACTTGGAAGTTTACTCATTTTGCCTCACAGAAAACTCTTTGACTATTATTTGGAAGGTGGGAAGGAGTGGAAGGAGGATGGAGGTTCTTTCTCTTTCTCTGCATTTAACCCGTTCTGCTTTTTCTGCACCCTTTCCCTATGTTTCTGGCTACATACTATAAAAACACAATTCTGGAGAATGTGGTTAGATTCACACCATGGGGACTGAGATGGAATTTCAAGTCACTCACCATAATTCAACTATGTATATATTAGAGAATTCTTATGAATAGAATAGAATGGAATGTGGTTTTGTATTTTCTTTTCCCAGGGACCCAGCCCAACTGCGCTACAGGAAAGTAAATTAAGGATGGGATTAGTTCTAGGAAGCGGATTTTTAGTATAGCTGCACATTTAACCTAAAATTATAGATAGTGCCTTAGAGATATGTTAGTGAGAAATCAGGACTTGGTGATAAGTGAAATCCCCAAATGTCTCAGAAACATACTTCTGCCTTCGTTTATTTATCCTTCTGCTGGAACTATACAAGTGGATTTATTTCTGCTCATCTTGCCCTTCTGCTTTTACTAACATCAGCAGGGGGGGGACATGCAATGGGGGAAATCAAGAGCACTGGCGTGGAGTCAGGATACCTCAGTTTAGTCCTGTCTGTGCCCCTCATTAGCCTGAACCATGGGCAGGTCACACAACCCTGGGGGCCTCATCTTTTCTCTGTAAGAGAGACAAAATAACTCCCACCTCAGGGTGGCTGAGGGGCCGTGCCATAGAACCCAGCCTTATGCATGTGAGCTGTTTGTGCAGTGCTGGACACAGAAAAGGTGCTCTGCAAATGTCTGTCCACTTTCCTCTCTTGTCTCAGACGTACTAACACACTGTATCGGTTTCCTAGGGTTGTCCTAGCAAATTACTACAAACCTGATGGCTTAAAATGGCAGAAATGTATTTCTGGAGGTCAGAAGGTCAGAATCCAGGTGCCCAGAGGCCACTTGCACGCTCTACTAGGAGTGGCTCTCTCCTTGCTTCATTCAGCTCCTGCTGGCTCCGGCCTTTCTGCTTGTGGCTACATCACTTCAGTCTCTGCCTTGGTGGTTACATGGACTCTTCCTCTGTCTTTGTCTTATAAGGACATTTGTCATTGGATGTGGGTCCCACCGGGAAAAATCCAGGAAGATTTCATTTCAAGGTCTGTAACTTAATTACATCTACAGTGACCCTTTTCCATTAATGGCACATTCACAAGTTCTGGGTCAGGGCATGGACATACTTTTGGGGAGGGTCACCATTCAACCCACTACCCACACTTTAGGGGTTCCTTTATATGTCAAGACTGTGGCCTGATAGGCATTTTTATAACCACCTCAGTGAATCTACGATCATTTTGATATTAATAAATCAGGACATGTAAGGGAAGAGAAGAAAGAACAAAAGCTTGTTTGTTTTGTGTTCATAAGCAGGCAAAAGGTCTTCTCTCCGGGCCCCCCGTTTAGCAGTGAGGAGTTGAGCACGTCATTCCTGTGCTCATCCCCATCTGGCGCTCACATTGCTCACATGTGGGTGGCAAGGAGCTGCAGCCTCCCTGTCACGGGACCCCTGCCATGCCCTTGCTCTGACCCCATCTTTAATGGCTCCACCTCGGTTCTCTGAACAGGGCTCCTGTAGCTTGGCTGTTCGATATCCAGCTCTAGGCTTCACTCTCTGGTTAGACTCTTGTTTGCTCCCTGGGTTCCCTCTCTCACTCATCCTGCCTTGTTGCTCCCTCAACCTTCAGGAATCCAATTTAAGCTTAAAAGGTCATCTCCGAACCACTCTGTGTACTGGACCGTAGTTGACAGAAAGTAGCCCCATTTAAACCCGCCCCATGGCTTCAGGCTGGCTGAGTGCCTGGGGGCAAGACCTCTACCCAAGGGCGAGTCCTTGCTTTTAGCAATATGGTTCCGCTACAACAGTGGTGGCATTTACTGAGCACTTAGGTCTCCTCATGCTTCCTCACAGTCATCCTCGGAAGTAATCTTGGCTCCATCTCTCATTCCCCGTGGTGGGAAGGAATTCCACACAAAGGGGAAGGCAATCCCTGGACCTTCTCACTGCTCAGGGCACCGAGGGACAGAGGAAGAGTGCAAGTGTGACAGGTCTTTGAGCTCTTGGGCCAAACAAAGCTGCCAAAAACCAACATCTTAAAAAACAAAAAAAGGCTCAGGTAATCTGGAGATACTTTTGCACTTTATATGTGAGCCTGAGGGCCATTGAAAATCCCACCTTCTAAGGAAAGTCACAGTGGTGCTCATTGAAAGGAAGGACATCTCAAGAGAAGGATCCGGAAGCACAAGAGCGCTGTCTGCTGGGGAGACAGCAGGGCTGCTGGAGCTCCAGGTACAGGGAGCTAGGTAGCCTTAGATCCCAACTCTGCTAAATTGACATGTCTGGGGCAGGTATCACATCTCTGAAACTCAGCCGGGCGCCTCACCTCTGAAAGGTGGGAGTGGTGGTGACCAGAGCTGCTGTGGGGTGGCGATTACATGTGTCACTGGCACTGAGTGGGCATGCAGCCCCACCTCTGCGGCTTTCTCATTGCTCCCACCCGCACCCTGTCACCCAACCAGCCTACCCCAATCTCATATTAGCTGCTTAGAGCTTTCCTGCTGTTGGGTCCAGGCCATTTGTGTGGACCTGGGTGCTTTCTCTTTGTCCTCAGGGCCTCGCTCAGTGCTGGTGCCCCGCTGGTGCTCAGAGCAGCCTGCAGAGCGCAGGAAGGCTGCACCTCCTTTAGCACCAGGCGTGCTGGGCCGGGTAGGCCTCTGCAATGGCAAGTGAATGGGAAGGTGGAATCACCCCTTGGATAGAACTTTGTTTCTGACACTTCCCACCTCCCCGGGTTCACCACGGAAGCAGGAAAGACTGTCGTAATGGTGCATACAAATATGCATTTAGTGCCAAGCTCTCTGCTGTGCACATGGTTGACCTGACCTAAATCTCCTTATGGCCTGACCCAGATTCAGGGGAACGCCTGAGGGGAGAGCCTCAGTGAGAGGAGAGGGCGCCAAACTGAGCGCTCCAAGGCCGGAGCACCCAAAGCAAGGGCTGCGTTAGGACTTCCGTGAGCCCGAGCACTTGTGCTTGGTGTGTTGCTTCCTCCATAGAAATATTTAAAATTATATTTTATGAGTGCGCTGGTATAGAGACAAATATAATCCAGGCGGGATTCTATAATTTTGTTCTTTAGATTTTAACACAGGCTCTGTGCCTACTGGTGCCCAATAGGCAAACCTTTCAGGTGACCCACAGCCTCTGAGGGCCGAGCAGGAGCGGTGTGTCCGGTCCCTAACCAGCCTCTGTCTCCACAGGTCCCTCAGCGGATGGCGGCGGAGGGCGCCCCCGAGGACGGCGGCGGCGTCCCCGGCGTGTGGGGCGCCTGGGGCCCCTGGTCCGCGTGCTCACGCAGCTGCAGCGGCGGCGTGATGGAGCAGACGCGGCCCTGCCTGCCCGGACCCCACCGCGCGCGCGGCCCGAGGCCCCGAGCCCCCGCGCACGCCTTCGCGGGCCACGTGGTGTCGGCTGTGCGCACTTCAGTGCCGCTGCACCGGAGCCGAGAAGAGCCTCGCGCCCCCGCCGGCTTCAACGCCAGCCGCCAGGGCCCCGTGCTCCGGGGCAGCCGGCACCCGCAGACGCGGGTCCGCGAACCCACCGCGGAGAGAAGGTACACGCCCTCCAGGCTCCTGCCCGCCCTGCGCTGCCCTGGCCCTGTCTCTTCCCTGCCCGCCCGACGTGCTGCACGCGGCTCTGCACCACAGATTGCTTGGTTAATGCATTGCTTCTGCCGGGTGGGGAGGAATTCTTGGCTCCACAATCTCCTTTCATCCTTTGATTTATTTTGCAGCTTTTTAAAGCTTTGAGGCCACTCCCACCCCACTCTGTGGTTCTGAATAGTCTTCAAAGTGAAGCTAATTCTTAGAAGCCCTTAGGCATCAACCTTAGGGAGGCCCTGTGGAGGGTAAAGAGGGAGTGGGTGCTGGGAGACCTCCCTCCAGTACAGCTGGCCTGGTGCAGGAGGAAAGGGAGACCCTGGCCGCAGGCTGTGTGGGTTTGAGCTGAGGACAAGGTGCTTTTAACCCAAGATGCCTTTTAAGTTCATATGAGTTTCAAATCCTTAGACACGTTGAATGTCTGGAGTGTTACCTGCTCTCAGGTTGTAGGTTTCAGGATTCTATGAACTTTTCTAGAAAGTTTCTCCAGTGTATTTTGAGTGAACACACAGCTTTGAGGCTGTGTCTAATTGAGGACCTAGATGTTGTCTAGAGACTTAATAAAATATAAGCTCTAGACACAGTGTCATGGCATTAAAATAGATAGTTGTATAGCCCTAAGAAGCCTCCCTGGCTAGGCCTGCATAAATATGCCAAACTAGGCAGTGCCCATGGCAAAGGGGCTGAGAAGAGCTTGTCAGTGAATTGATCAAACAATATTTGCAGATTACGGCATTCATTCAACAGTATTTGTTGGGTGCCCTAGGCTCATAATAGAATCTGAGAGGATATTCATACAAAAGCATTAACAACAACAAACGAACATTTACAGGAAAAACAAAAAGTGTTAGATATAATCCCTCTGCTTAAGAAAGGTATAATTTAGAAGTCAAGCCAAGTTAATGCCCATCCCAGGCAGGGCCTGAGCCTGTTAGGTGGGTAGTCTAGCCTCTCTTATCAGTTGCAGTTCAGACTTCAGCATGGATGGCCACCCGTTCCCACTATGGCTAGATGGTTCGTGAGAGTCCTTCCTCAGCCCAGTGCTGTAGGCTGTCCCTGCCACTGACTGGATGTGCAGAGGAGATACTACCCACCCAGCCTCCCCGCCACATGCTTTTGGCCTGGTCAGGAGGGGACCATTTCACAGAGAAGATGCTTTAGCTGAATTCTGAGGAATAAACCACGTTTGGGCTGATAGAAGAGAGAAGAAGAGAGCCGAGAGTTTCAAGGCTTGGCTTGGCCTGTCAGTGGGAGAGTAAAGAGAGGGACCAGCTGGGAGAGAATGTTTCCTTCTCTCTCTTCCTGTGTAGAAACCTGAAGACCCTCCAACATCACTCGACACTTGGAGGGTCTGCCACTACTGAAGGCTGAGGGCTTATCATGTGTTAGCTCCTTTCATTCCAGACACACCTCATAGTAACATAGCTCCCCAGTCCCTTATATGGAATACTTATGGTCAGTGCATTTTAGAATTCAGAACTGTTCAGATTTTAGAAAGGTAATTCACGGCATATTTCACACTTTAATGACATTCCTTCTCTGGTGTGGGGCAGCATCCCATAATTAAACACATTTTTACGTCTGCAGTGAAGCATATGGATTTCAGATCACGTAGGGTAAAAGAGACCATGCCTGTTAAGGTCAGGTTGGCTGCCCCAATGAGTTTTGACACCAGACTGATAAAAACATTAAAAGAAAAAGAAAGACAAAAACTCAGTTTTCAAAACTCTTGCTTTCAGGATTGCAGATTTATAATAGCTGAGGTTTGTTGAATGCCTGTCCTATGTCAGGCACTGTTCCTGTCGCTTTACACTGACAACCCTATGAAATGGCCGCTAATATCCTTATTTTAGAGGTGAGTCAATGGAGGCCCAGAGAAGTGGGGTAACTTGTCCAAGGCTTCGCAGCTAGTATGCGAAGAGTTAGGATTCAAACCCGGGGAGCCGTGGCTATCAGGACCTGATGAAGTAGATGTTACACATAAGGAATCGAGGCTCTAAGATATTAAATGACTAGTCAGAGTCCTAAATGAAGCCACAGAAAAGCTGAGATTTGAAGGTGCTGCTGACTCCCAGATCCCTAGAGTACTCAGGAACGTCTCTTCCAGCCATTGTGGTTGAGAACCTAGAAAAGCTGCCCAGGGAACAGGCTCTAGTTGGCTGCCGGCCTGGGCTGCAGGCTTTCCGGCCCATGCGTTTGGCAGCAGGAAAGTTTTCTCTTCTAACTTATTGACAAGGGGCCAGTTACTGTTTACTATGAAGTTCCTACAAGTTTTTATCATGCTCTTGTAATTTGACAGTTTCAGATGAAATAATCCAAATATTAGCCTGGGAGGCCTGTGCTGCTGAAAAATGTCACGCTCTTCCCGGCTGATGAAAATCGCATTTGCTTATGTTTATCAGTGATTAGGAACTTGCATAGTATATATGACCCCAGAAGAAACGTCAGTGTGTTCTCTGGATGGCTGTCTGCCTCATTCTCTGTTTCAGGTTTGAGGTTTGAGGCGGAGACTGTTAGGGCTTAGATGTTTAAGAAACTGTTAGGTTGTTATGCTAGGCAACTGAAAACTTAATTGGAGCCACATAACAAATAAAACAAAACTATTCAACCTTCTAACAAATATTTATTAAGCATCTACTGTGTTGTAAGGCTCTGGGACACAAAGGTATAACAAAAACAGGGCTGGAGGCATCAGACTCTTACTGACAGGCTAGAGCAGCTGCTGGCAAACTTTTTTTTTCTAAGGCATAAGAATTCTTTGTGCAAAATCAGTCTTAGATGGAGGTTCAATTTGTAACAGACAAAAGCTGAGCTGCTCTGTTTGAAGTTTTAGAGACATCACTATAAAAACCTGGGGACTAGCTCTAGCCGGTTTGGTTCAGTGGATAGAGCGTCGGCCTGTGGACTGAAGGGTCCCGGGTTTGATTCCGGTCAAGGGCACGTACCTTGGTTGCAGGCTCCTGGCTCTGGTCGGGGACATGTGGGAGGCAACCAATCGATGTGTCTCTCTCACATCGATGTTTCTCTCTGTCTCTCTCCCTCTCCCTTCCATTTTCTCTAAAAAATCAATGGAAAAAATATCCTCAGGTGAGGATTAAACAACAACAACCAAAACCTGGGGACTAGATACAAAGCGGGCAGTGGTTTTTAACCTTGGCTGACCATTAGAGTCCTTTGCCTACTTCTTAGAAATCTTGACACCCTCGTCACATCCCAAACCAACATCTGAGTCTCTAAGGGTTGTACTTACCGTAGACATGGAAAGAATCCAGCCAAGGTTGGGAATCGTAGGTCTGGAAGTATCTTGGGAACTTTTTAAGGTTCCATGGAAAAGAATTTGGGAATCAAATACTTTCTAGTATTCCAGGTTTAGTGAGCACATATAAGCATCACTTGCAGTGGGCTGGGGAGTATTGTTAAAAGTAGAGCAGTCTGGTCCCCACCATCTCCCGTGCCTAATGGGGATTATTTTATAGTCCATGAGGTGATCTAGGTAACTTCGTTTACATGATTCTGACAGACTCCAGAGTTTCAGAACCAGAGCTCCAGAAGGTTAGAAGAGACATGGATATAAATGCTTTCCTTATGGGCTAGTATGATGAAATAGTAATGGGAATAATAGTGGCTACCATTTGGAGCATGTCTTCTGTACAGGCACGACATCAAATGCATTATAACCCAGGTCCCTCAACCCCGGGAGGCAGATACAGAGATGCAATGGACCACAGGTCCCTCAACCCCGGGAGGCAGATACAGAGATGCACATGGACCACAGGTGCCTCCACCCTGGGAGGCAGATACAGAGATACACATGCACCACTCATCCCTCAACCCTTGGAGGCAGATTTGCATTTCACAGAAGGGAAACGGGCTCAGAGGAATGAAATGAACTGCTCCAATCACCCCCTTCAGAAGCACCAGAACCAGAATTCCATGGAGGTCTGTTGGAATCAGGCACTAATGTCCTTTTCACGGAAATGGTTATTTTGGAAGTGAGGCAGCCTACTTCCAGCAGGTGTGATCAGAAAAACTGTTGGAAGGTTGGACAGTTTGGGCCACACCCTGAAAAGTGGGTGGATTTGGCCCTGAAGGCTTAAAAAGAACTGCATCTCTTTCTTGCAATGTTCAGAGCTCTTCATCAGCGAAATCTTTGCCTCTAGTCCTAGGCACCAGGGGGATTCAAAAAATTGGAAACACAGTCCATATTCTTGGGGGCCTGATACTGTGGTAGTGGATGAGTAGAAACCCAGGAAACACTGCACATGGTGGGAGACAGTAAAGGTGTGACCAGAGTTCAGGAAGATGGGAATTCCCTGTGGGATGGAGCTGTCATGGAACACTGCACAAAGCAGGTAGGATTTGAACCCAACCTTGAAGAAATCAGTAGAATTTACTTAGCTGGAATATATCTGGAAACTTTTTGGGTTCCCTTGCTTCCATATCAGACCTTTGTTTCATTAAAACACATGCATACACTGCAAATCACATTCTTAAAAGCCATATAAATCATATCAGTGTTTATTGGAGCTCTCCCAAAGATCCTGAGCGTAGGAAAGTTACTAAACTTCTCTGAGCCTCAGGGACTTTATCTTTCAAATGAGAGTAATAATAATAATACCTATCACATGGGATTATTGCATAATTAAATGAAATATTTGTATTGCCCAATTCATAGTAGGTGCCCAATAAATTATAGCTCTAACTCCCATTATGGGTTTAAACGCTGGGCATTGCGTTAGGCAGTTCCAGTTAGAATTGTGGTTCTGCAGGAACGATCGATCGGGTGGAGAAATGGGGCCACACAGGAAGATGGGGAGCCAGGAACTGAGGTCCAGTCCAAGAGGGCAGGACTCTGGGCAGCACAGCATCCCAGGGCCTCGGCACCCTGCCCTTTGCCCTTTCTTGGTGCGACGGCTCAGGAAAGCCCTCCACAAAGGGTGGCCTTCCCCTGGGA